CCTGGCGGAGCAGGAACCTGCCACTGGGTCAAACAGAGAGGGTTTGGCGGCAAAGCCCGGGTTTTTTGTTTTTGTTTTTTTTGTGTTTTTTTTGAGTGTGGAGACAATTTAGAGACACTCCCTGGATCCTGGCTGCAGGCCCAGTGAGCAGCAGTTCAGGGAACGCCAGTAACAAAGGAATTATTCTCTTCTCCCACCGGCCACTCTCTGCTCATTCCCCTCCCAGGGCTGGTACTTTCCTAGGCAGCTGTTTGAAAACGTTGGCCTGCAGCAGGAGACTTCATCCCAGACCAACCCTCCCACCTGCTCTCACCCAAGGAATGGGGGGGCCGTCCCCTTCTCCGGGCCAAAGCCAAGGCAGATCTGTTAGTCCCGTGGTCTGATAATAGGCCGTCTTGCCGCAGTGCAGAGCAGGTGTCGCAGTGTGGCTGGGTTGTGCCCACACCAGAGCACCGGGTTGCCCCACAGATGCAGCCCTCTCTGTGCTTTGGGCTTCGAGACAAGCTCTGAGCTCCGCCAGTTGACGCAGGGTTTTCCCTGGACCCGCTGAGACGCAGGGTGTCAGTGAGAAACCTGGGCTGGGCAGGCAGAGATTTGCTGGGATTCGTGGACATCCCGCCCAGCTGTAGCTGCGATTCCTAAGGGATCGCTAGCAGCTGCCTGACGTGGAGGGGCAGGGGAGGCAGTTCCCCTTCCCTGTCTCCAGAGGGAGACTTTGCTTAGCCACTTGCGGCTTGAAACAGTCCATAACCCTCCTGCTGAGAATGACCCTGGGCTGGGCTGCTTCTCGACTGGGAAAATCAGTGGGGTGGCACTTCCCACATGCCGCCCACCAAAAGGAGGTGTCAGTTGGGGTGAATCGGGCCACTCGGTGACCCTCCCACCCCTTCCTCACACGAGCAATGAAATGGTTAACAGTGGCATCATTGCCTGGCTGTCTGAGTTAACGTCATGGAGATGACTGGGGCAGTTCACACCTCTCCAAGCTATTGAGCTGCTGTCTGCTTCGGTTCCACTCAACTCGCAGTTTGTCTTAAAGCACTCTGAGCTACTGGAGAACGTGACAGTAGCTTCTGAGCCGTTCCAAGGTCCGATTCTAGCTCCCGGGGGAAATACGTCGCTTGCGAGGTCTGTGACGTTCTTTAATGAGCCACAAAAAGAGGCCAAATGTTTCAAACCTGGGAGCCTACACTTAAGGCTAGGCTCATCCGTGGCCTGCAGGGCTGCTGAATGCCCCTAACCCCCAGCACAGTCCCGGGGGCTGCAGGAAGTTCGCGCCTTCGGGAATCGGACCTCTGTGGATTCCGGAGCCACCCGCTCGGTCTGAGAGCGCCAGCCGCAGTCGGTGAGTTGGCCCACGGGGGGTCAGAGCCCCTCCTTTGTTGGATTCTTTCACCTGGGGATCTCCAAGCACTTTACAAAGGTAGGTGAGCACCGGGGTCCCCATTTTTCTGATGGAGAAGCTGAGCCACAGAGACATGCCGTGACATGCCTGAGGACCAGTGCCCACGACTCCTGGCTCTGGCCATTAGTCCCTGCAGTGGAGAAGTGGCTGAAGTGATGCAGAGGGAATGGCACACGGTGGGGGTCAGGGCTGTGGGGCGGGAGGATGTGCTGTTTATTCCAGCCCCCCCAGAGGAACGCAGCCAGGGAAGCTGGAGGGCCTGAGAAGAAAGGCTCTTGCCAACAGCTCGTGCATGGCAGAGGAGTCAGAAGGTTGCCAAAGGGAGTGAGAGCTGCAGTTGGCGCCGGTTTGGATTGCTCTGATCAGGCGGGCGGGGGAGGGAGGTAATCTGAGCGCCCCGGCGGGAAAGGCTCTGGGGCTTAGCGGCAAAACTGGCCGGGGGAAGGCCTTTTTCACAATGAAAAACCTCTTGGAATTTGGACTCTTGCCCTGCGGCGCGAGAGTGGCGGTTGGGAGAGGAGCCGCTCGGTGACTGAGGGAGATTTGGCGGCAGGGTCCCTGGGAAAGCCGCCAGCACCTGCTGCCCACGGTTGGTCTGTGCAGCAGGGGTGGCAGGGCGTGGGCAGGGCTCAACTGTGTTTCCCTGCACCCAAAACTTGGTCCCTGCGTCTGTCAGAGCACCCTGTTACAAACATGACTGAATTTTCAAGAGACAGGTGGTTTTGGGGGGCCCTAGCATGAGACACCATCAAAGGGCCCAGATTGCCAGAAAATGCAGCGCCCCCTCACCCTGCATATCAGGCCCCTCTTGGGTGTCTTGAGCACCCCAAATCTCTAGTCACCTCTGAAAGTGTAGGAGGTCCTTAGCTACTTACACGCCCCAAGCAATAAGGGGAAAACCTAGGTGCGGAGTAGCTGCAGCTTCTCCAAGGTGTCCGAGGGCTTAGCACCTAGGATTCCCAGGCCTTTGCTCTAACCACTAGACCCCTCCTTCCAGGCCTATGTGGTTGGTTATTTGCTTTTATTTTTTCCTTCCATTAGGCACTTGGTGTTTAACATAACCCACAGATGGCGTCTTATTTCCTGGAGTCCGGTGCCGTTCGCTGTCTTTGCAGCAGCTGGTGCAAGGCGCTGGGTCCACCTAGCAAACAAACCCACCAAAGGGTGAAGTCTGGGCCCGATCCTGCGCTGCTGATGCCCGTGATGTTCCCCTTGTAGCCAATGGGAGCTCTGCTTGGGCCTGTGTTGTAGGACAGGGCCCTTGGCAAAGCATTTCAGTGTCCCAAACACAGGACTGGTGATTTGATAAATAATGTTCGTTTTAAGGCCGCCCCTTCCCCCCCCCCACACACTTCTTTTCAATTTTGCAAAGTGCTTAGTTTGCTGGGTGATGCTTTCGCTGCATAAGACAAGTTTGCAGCCCCGAGGAGTGTGCAGTGGAGGTGGGGTGGATACCCCGATGGGCACTGCTGGGGGCACTGGCAGAGCGAGGGGGGAAACGCTCCAGAGAGGGTTTCTGGGTTCAGCTGGCCTGTCTTGCTGTGTACAGTTTTATCAGTGCATTTCCGCCTGGCGTTGAGCCGTGTGTGCGGGGGGCGATCAGCTAGGGAAAGTGTGTGTGGGGGGGATGCGAATGGGAGGCTGTGCAGGCCCGGGGTGGCGTGGAGCCCAGAGGGGCAGAGCGGAGGGCCCGGGAGGAGGAGCTGGAGCTGAGATGCAGGTAGCACCAGAGGCTCCAAAACAGGGGATGGGGAGGGGGTGACACTGGAGCCAGGGGCTCTTGAGGAGGGCAGGGGGGTGTGGCTGGGCTGGCGGTGGAGGACAGAGACAGGCATGGCAGGGTCTGCTGCAGTGGAGAGGAGTGAGGCCTGGGGGCGGGGGATTAGCAGTGGGAGTGGGGAGGAGACCCTGCATGGAGGAGCTTGTTGGGGGTGGGGTGCCCCCAAGGCTGTTGTGAGCCTGGTGACAGGGCTAGCGGGTTGTCGCCTGTGATCGAGAAGAGTGGGGGAGTGGTTGGGATTAATTGGAGCTGATGGATCGTGGCGGGATGTCCTGCCTGAGGTACCGGAAAGGCAGCTGAGGAAGAGACCAAAGAGGTCAAGGCGGGAGTCCTCGGCAGAGAGGCAGGAGCTGAAAGCGGGGGGGACAGGTGGGAGGGGCACGGTCCTGGGGGCTGGGGGAGACGGGTGCCCCAGTGCAACGACTGGGAGTCTGGTGCCTGGGCCGGAAAGATAAATGGGGTGGGGGCTGAAGTCGATACAAACCCTGATCCCCCCCCCCCCCCCCGGGCCCGGCCGTACATCCAGAAACGACGGGGCAGGTTCCATTTCAACCAGTGCCCAGGCAAGGAGTGTCCCCGGGGGGCCTCTGAGGGGCGCTGGGCTGTAGCGTGGTGCCCTAGCTCGGAGTTGATGGGAGCTGGGGCAGCTCCCAGGCCTGGCGTGGCCTTCGGCCTGCCCTGAGCTCGCTGATTCTCACTGGGCTGCCGCTGACTGGGGGGTGGAAATTCCCTCCCATTCGTCACTCCCGCACCGTTCCCCCATGGCTGGTACCGCGTCCCGGGAACGGCCCCATCCTAACGGCAGGCCCGTTCTTCTGCTGCTTTAATGCAAACGTGCGCAGAGAATTGACGGCTTCAGCTCTGGCAGCTGTGTCTCATCGGGTGCTCCCAGGGTTTGGATTTCTCTGGCGCTGCTGAGACCGAGCCTGGCCATGGGATCTGGGCTTGGGGCTGGGCACTGGGGCTCTGGGCAGAGATGCAGTTAACAGCCAGCTTCTGATAGTGTCGTGGGGCCACCTGCTGGACAAGAGACGCAGCACAAACTCAGTGAGCCAGTGGGATCAGTGGCGCTGGTCCAGTTTGATTCCCCTGGCTGCAAACAGGCACCGCTCCCAGCTCCCCCTGCTGCAGGTCACCGGAGCGACTCTGGCCGTCGCCAGCGCTGCTGCAGGGCCGGTGGCAGCCTTTGCCAGCTGGACTCAGGAGTGGACTCAGGCCAGAGTGCTGGATCCTTGGCCCCCAATGTCCAAGGGCTCCCGGCTGCGGCAGGAAGGCAGCGGCCCAGGTGGAAGGGGTCAGGTTGCCACACTTCGGAGGGAGATCAAGGACTCTGGCGGGAGGAAGACGGTGCATCTCTGCCCGGGGGAGGGGAGAAAGAGGGTCAAGTCCAGGAGGAAGAGGCTGTTGGGAGCCCTCAACATTTTGCAGTGAAAGGGGACGAAATATTGGTGGATCTTTTTAGAGCCCAGGCTGGCACTGCTATAACGTAGGGGAAGCAGTGACTGGGGGGTGGCCTCTCCAGGCCCAGCCTGCCCAGGGGGTGATTGACAGCTGATTGCAGGGGGGTTGCTGGTAGGGTGACCAGATGTCCCGATTTTTGGGTTTTTTTTCTTATATAGGCTCCTATTACCCCCCCATCTCCTGTCCTGATTTTTCACATTTGCTGTCTGGTCACCATAGCTGCCGGTGACCCCTTCCCCCTGTAGAGCAAGCCCCGGCGAGGCCAAGTGACAGAGATGGCGCCAGTCGGGCAATAAACAGATTAAATGTTATTTTATTTCACACAAAAATGTACAAAATAACAGGTGAGTGGATTTTAATTGTTTTATATTAAAAATCTAAAAGGTGCCACTGAGCTATTTTCAATGGACTCAGTGCGGGAGGATTTAAAGATGATGCCCTTTTTCTTCTTCATCATCATCATGGTCACAGCCGGACCCTTGGAGTGATTCACGCACATTATTTACATCTGTCAGGAGGGGCGGCTTCGTGCCGGCCCCGCCCTGGACCCCTCCCTTCGCACTTGGGGGGCGTAGTCCAGATAAAGTGACCCTACATTGTACCCCTGTGGGAACCATGGGACGCCCCCCTGCTCCCAGGCTTCCATCCCCTAGCCCCCACCCCAAGCTCAGGCAGGCTAAGAACTGGGCATGTCACTGCACCACTGATGGGGGGCGGGGGGAACGGAGACGCACGGAGTGGGTGACACACAGCCTGCCAGAGTTGGACACTGATCTTTTTTGGAGGGAGGTGGGAGGGGGGAACACGTTGGGGAGGGCGGATTTGCGGGCTGCTTAGTTTGTTCTTGTATTTCTGTATTTTTATTTTTTAAAAACTTTTTCCCTTTCTTTACAAAATGAGGAATATGATCATGGTTATTTATAGCAACATGGCAACATTTAAAATTTTCTGCTGACAGTTCTAAGTGAAGCCTCCAGGCCCCAGCCGGACAGACCCCCCCCCACCCTACCGCTCTTGAGGCGCTCACTGCAGCAGGGCCCGGATCTGCTTGGATGTGGTGTCGTCGTTGAGGTGCCGGGTGGTGTACCTGCAAACGGAGGAGGGGGGTTATGCCCCTGACGAGTCCACGTGCTTTTCAAGCCATTAAGCCTCATGACCCCCCTCCCCCATAAATAAGTGTGTCCTTGAAGCAGCACAATGAGTTGGTAGTCCGAGCACAGGACTGGAGCTGTAATTGCTAGATTCTGACGCTGGCTCTGCCAGGAACTCGCCGTGTGGCCTTGAGCAAGGTGTTTAAGGCTTTGTTGTGGCAGGTGCTGGGCACCTCATTCGATGTCAGTCGCAGCTGTCGGCGCTCAGCACCTCTGAACTCCAGCCCTTACCCTCTCTGTGTCACCGGTGGAGTGTCCCCATTGGGCAGAGAAGGATAAGAACGATGCTGCTAGGCAATGCCAGCCCCATTTCATGGATGAACGGAGGCACCCAGCGGTGCTGTGCCTCGCCCCTGGCCGCATGGCGAGTCACAGCACCGCGGGGTGCCTCCGTTCACACTGTGGTGTTTACGCTGACTCCACTTTTTAATCCTGTCCCACCAGGAAACCTCTGAAGAGTGAACGCTCAGGACAGAGAAGGGAACGGCAAGGCACAGACAGGAAACAGAAGTGGGAATTTACCACGCAAGGTAGGACTGATGCCCCTCATGGAGGAGCCATTTATCTTGTGAAGTGGGATTTAGACTGCGAACTTGTGGGTGACCAGGGGTGGAATCCAAGGGATGGGAAATGTACTGTAGAACACCGAGTCCAGCCGCAAGAGATGCGCTTCGAAGCACACCTGAACCCTGACCCTTTCCCCAGACACGAGGCCAGCAGCCAGCTGCATCGGACCCCAGATTCAAATACGCCGGAGACCAGCACTCCGAAGGCTCTATCTAATGGGAGCAGATCATAGCTGAGATCAACCTAAACATCTAGGGGAGAACACCTCCGTGGGTGTGCTACAGCTGACACTCAAAAGGGAGCCCGGTGGACCTGGAACCAAGAGTTCTAGTCTCATGCATTTTTGATCAGTGCCTCAGAGAGAGCAATGGTCGCGCACCAGAAACACAATTTTTGCACTGGTTGACTCAGGGACTGGAAAGCATGATTACTATGTGTATTCCTGCAGTGCCCGGGGGCCTTAGCTGAGATCAGGGCCGGCTCCAGGCACCAGCATTCCAAGCAGGTGCTTGGGGCGGCAGTCTGCGAGGGGCGGCACTCCGTGTGTTTTTGCCGCCCCAAGCAGCGCACCAAATTGCCGCCATGGACGGCGGGGGCATTCCATGTGCCGTTAGGGCGGCACACGCGTTTCCGCCGCCGCGGCAATTCGGCGGCAGCTTCTATGTTCAGCTGCTCGCGGGGGCAATTCGGCGGCTTCTGTCTTCCGGCTGAAGACAGAAGCTGCCGCCAAATTGCCGCCGCCGCGGAAACGCGCGTGCCGCCCTAACGGCACACGGACTGCCCCCACCGTCCATGGCGGCAATTTGGTGCGCTGCTTGGGGTGGCAAAAACAGTAGAGCCGGCCCTGGCTGAGATTGTGTTAGGTGCTGCACATACGCATAATAAGAGATGGTCTTTGCGTCACAGAGTTCAGTCTAAATAGACAAGACAGGTGAGAGAAAGGGCAGTATTATTACCCTCATTTTACAGATGGGGAAACTGAGGCATAAAGCGACTAGTCTGGGGTCACACAGGTTGTCAGCAGTAGAGGTGGGAGTATGAACCTGGATCTCCTGAGGCCCATTCCAATGCCTCAGTCACAAGACCAACCTGCCTGTCATGGAGACAAGGTGCTTTGAATCTATAGGTTACTGGCTAACACCCAGCCTAGCTCAGTACCAATCTATAGGTGGTTTGTTGACCGGTCTGAAATGAGTTGGCGAGTTCTCAGCGGGCCATCACAGGAAAACACCCAGCACAGTGGATGAAAATCAGCCTCTCTGTTGGCACTTTCTTCAGCAGAGTCAAGGACTGAACAAGCCATAAAGTCTGAGTTGCTCCCACCCTTCTGGGAGTGGTGGCGGGGGGTGGGGGGGAAGGAGTGCGGCGTCTGCTACTGGGCTAGTCCTGTAGTGGAATGGATTTGTGCCCCCGGGTCTGTGAGCCTGGCACCTTGAAATGCCCAGGGAAAGATTAAATCAAGGGAGAACTGAAGCCATTCTAGTTATTGCCGGTCTGTCTGCTGATCTCGGCTTGGCTCCTGGAGGCTTTGAGCTCTATTCTGTGCAAGTGTTTTCGAGAAGAGAGTTCTCAGCAGCCTTTCTTGGTCAGCAAAGGAGAAGATGGGGCAGATGAGCCTCTCTCACCAAAACAGTCAGAGAGAGCGGACTTTATAGTAATTCACAAAGAAGAGCACCTGTGTGTGTGTGTGTGTGTGTGTGTGAGAGAGAGAGATTGATTGTGATCATCTGCTCTGACCTCTTGTCTAGCGCAGGCCAGAGAACTCCTCCAAAATAATTCCTAGAGTGGATCTTCTAGAAAAACATCCAATCTTGATTTTAAAATTGTCAGTGATGGAGAATCCATCACCACCCTGTTAGACCATTCTCTGCTAGATCAAATACACTCTGTGTGTGTGTACACACACACACACACACACAATTTATCAGAGCTGACAAGGCGATTTTGAATATGCCTACTCAGCAAGTGAAGCTGTGATTGTAGCATGGGTCGCATGTCCGCACTCATTTTAACCTAGCTAGTGCGGGCAACAATAGCAGTGAAGACACAGCAGCGCAGACACTGGCCAGCAACCTCAGGATGTACCCAGAGTCACCAGCAGGCTTGTACTGGGGTCAGCAAGCCTGTGTCACCAGGTCTTCATGACCACGGTTCCCTGCACCAGCTACATTCGCTAGGTATGCCAACCTGCGCTACGATCACACTTTCATTGGCTGTGTAGATGTCACCAAAGACCTACGACTCTCATTGACATTCCTCAGCTAGCCGTGAAAATCTCGTCTCTCTCTCTCGGATACAGTTGCTAAAATCCCTGTCAGCACGGTGGAATTTCCACCTTCTCAGCATTACGGCTCCAATTAGCGATGCTGTTTCTGCAACCTGGACGTGTTTCCACTGGGAACTGGCGCCCGACCTGAGCAGCTCGTCCCTGCCCTCGATTGCGATCTGAGCTGGCCCGGAGGGGGAAGGAGAATCTTGAGGCTTTTCAGCAGTGAAGGAGGACAGGAAAGGCAGCTCGTGACCACAGCTCCTGTTTCGCCCCCACCCCCATTCTCAGCGCGGAACATGCAAAGGCAGCCATTGGTGCGGGAGGACAGAGCTGTACATACCTCAGTGCGTTCAGGAGCCCCTCTGTGCTGGTTGAAGGCTGATCTTTCAAGACTTTGATGCATCCTTTCATCTACCAGGATTAAAAAGAAAGAGCCAGGCGGGTCAGCGCTCAACTGAAAAGAGCACGTGGCAGGGGGGAGCAGGGACCAGCAGCTCCCTTACCCACGCCTCCCGAGGAAGGAATGAGTGTGCTCTCTTAGCCCGCGCTTCCCCTCACACTTCCCAGCTGTGTCTTGGCTTCTCTGTCCCTCTCCTTTTTGGCTTTGTCTCCACCCAGCAGACGAAGGGGTGATTGTAGCGTGGGTAGGCACAAGCACCTTTGCCTCAGTGTAGCTAGCGCGGTTAACAACAGCAGGGAAGACATGGCGGGCCAGCAACCTGAATGCGTACCCAGGATCCCCTGCCGGGCAGATTAAAGCACTGAAATCACACCTTCATTTGCTGTGTAGACATACCCTCTGTTTCTTAAAATGTCCCACTGCTGCTGCTGCTACTGGTTGCAGCACTGCGGTGGTGGGAACTCCAGTGTAGACAAGGCCCCTGGTGTATTAACCACACTGTCTTCTAAGACCTCCTCTGAGAAGAGTTAAAACACCAGCCACTGACCATCTCTAGATTTCTCACTGGCGCTATCCCCAGTGGAGCTGCATCCAGTGGTGGGAAATGTTTAGTCTTGAGACAGGGCTTAGTTTCTTCCTCCATCCATCTATTTATCTCCATCGCTTCCTTCCTACCTTATTCATAAAATCCTGGATTGGGATTTGTCCCCGGCCCGCACTGCGTTCTAGGCTGACTGCTGTGTCTGTCAGCTGCCTGCCAGCTGCTCCAGTGGACCAGTGCGGTGCATGGAGTCCCCTGTCCTGGGGTGTGTCTCGTGTGCGTTACTGCAGATGGGAATCTAGCAGTGGTAGGACTCATGGTCTTTGGGCAGCCAGGAAAGCCAAAAGTGAGCCGCTACCCCAGGCTGGCCAGTAAGCGCTTTGCTAAGCTTGACTCTGCAGGACGTCACCCCTTGCGTATTTCATGCTGACCAAGACCTCATTGCTCAGAGATAGGAGAGCAGGAGCGATTCTTGCTCGGCTACTTGTGATGGGATCATCCAGCCCAGAAGAACCAATAGAACCTGGGTGGAAGTTAAGTGTCTTCTTTCTCACTCTGCCCTGAGGCAGGAGGTGGCTAGCAGGACAGCTCCTGCTAACCACCAAACCTATGCCTGTAGGCCCCACAGCACTCCCCAGCTCAGATGGCTTCACTCCCTCATGATTTTTTTTTAGTGCCCCTTTGCTGGGCAGTGCGCCATCTATTGAGACCAAGGTGTCACTCACATCGATTTTGGAGGTCTTTGCGAAAGCCCCCACGGGGTGAACGTGATCGTAGAGGATAATGACTCCAACCATCACTCGCATGCAGAAGAGAAGGGTCTCGGTGTTGGTGAACCGGCTCCTGTATTCCCTGAAATCAAGAGAGGGGTCAAAGTGACAAGCAGAGGGAAGTCTGGCAGGGTCTGACTCAGTGTCCTTATTGCTGCTGGCAAGTGAAGGGAGATGAGAGAGAGCGTCCCATGAGTCACAGGTGGGAGAGCTTCTACCTGTACATGCCCCTGCTATATGGGTGCCTATACGTGTTTAAAAGCTGGGCTTGGGGACCTGCAAGGATCTCTCCGTGCTCGGCACTGCATGGATTCACTCCTGAAAGGGTGACCGCTTAGTCCCGTGTACATTGCTTGAATTCCGTCCCTTGGCTTCCTGCTGGCCTGTGATTTTAGAAGCCATCTGCCAGCCTGGATTCCGTGCCTAGGCACACGGGCCAGGATGAAATACTCACGGCGTCTCCAGCATCACCCTGCAGACACAGGCCATGGTGCTTAGACAGTCAGTTGTGTCCTCAATGGGGAGGGTCTTGTTCTGAAAGGAGAGACCAAGAGAGACACTAGATTTGCCTCCTGGTCCCGTGTGCCCCTCGCTGGAGAGGAGGCGTCAGTTAGGAACTGAATCACTTCATCGTATCGCTATTTCCCCAACCCCTTTCCAGTTGGTCTCCCTCTATAAACTCCCCTGCCTATGCTGCTAATGGACAGCTCCCCATGCCTGTGGCTTAGACACACCTGTTTCTTATGACGCAGGATGTCCATGACCAGGGATGTTGGAAATGTGCTGAATTCGTGGAGGAATCTTTCCAAAGCTCGCATCCTATTTTCTCTCATGCTGAATCTTTGTGCCAAATATTCTGCTGGGCACAGCTTGATTGACTGCAATGGAGTCTCACTGGTTTACCCAACAGGTACATCTAGGCTATTGTTTATATTTCTCTCCTCCGGCCCCCCCTTCTCCCAGTTTTTGGTTTCTCTTTCTGTCTTTGGGGCTCACTCACCTCTGAAACAAACTTGGTTGTGGCGTTGCTTAGAGTTTTAAGCATAGGCGTGGCCTCTGCGTAGAAGAGAGACATCCTGTTGGCCATTTCATTGTTAACATCACTCTCGGCATCCAACTGCAGGACATGAGATGTGAAAGACGGCTTGCTCACGTTAATCCCAACAGGACTGGGCAAATGCTGAACATATCTGAGCCCAGCCTAATCTGCCCTGTTGGAATGTGCTGAACAGACCCAGACTATAACCTCACCAGCTCACACCTCGCAGTTCAGGTCTGGGTTTGCTGAACTTGGGGGCTCAACCCAGACCGGCTTCAGGTTTGCTCACCCCAAGCCTTGCTGGTGCTGCAGGGGGGGTGAGGGGACCTAACTCAGCCATCCTCCGGTTCATTCTGCGCATCGCTTTATGAGAGGCCCACCCACTGCCTGTGTCCTCCACTGCTTGGTCCTCGAGATGTTTAGTTCTGCCAACCATCTGGTAGAGCATCGAGTGACAACCACTGCCTCTGCAAGAATCTCTCATCTTACTTTTCTAGCAGTTTATGCATAGTTCACCCCCAAAGCTTTTTACCCAGTGTTAACCTGGGCTAGCAAGGCTAAGAAGACCTCCATATCCATGCTCATACCATGCTAGGCTTCATCCCCCACACTGCTCTGACAGTGGAACTCAAACCCTGTGGGAGGGGGACCAACCTCTTACCTGTAAATTGTTAATGCGATTTCGGCTGAGGGTTCTTCTGTAGTAGCTAAAATCGTTCTGGATGGCAGGGTTGGTCATCTGCAGCAAACATGGACAGAGAAGATTGGAGGTCTGATCAACTGCTCTTGGTACTGCTCCCATAGGGCAGAATGGGTCCTAGATCTGGATCTGTTAAACTGGGGGCCAGCTTTCCAAGAGATGGTTGAAAGAGGAGTGGATAAAACTCTCAAAATCTAGCGTAAGGGATGATACCCCAGCGGCGATTGGCGGGAATGGTCCAGAGGACCTAATGTAGGCTAGCTCCACTGCCCGTTTGTCTAACGAACGGTTCGTTTGGTTGACGCTTGCATGTCAACTAAAGCAGAGCTAATTCACCAAGTCACGACTCAGCATTACAAGGAGGAACATGCCAGGGAATATTGACTCCCTGAACAGCATGGCTTGATTTGGGTTGTTAATGCGTCGTGCAGCATTGACTCTCTACCAACCGACCATCCCTGGGAAAGGCGAGTTTCTAAGCTCCCGTGTTCCGTCTCCAGTCAGACCCGCAAAGCTTCCCTACCTTGAACTCGTCGAAGCTGAGGGTGAAGTGTAGGATTTCTGCAAACTGCTTTGCTAGGGCTTGTTCTCTCTCCAGGTGCTGAGTCGGGGCATAGGGCGGGCTAGTCAGAGCTTCCAGCAAGCTGCGCAGAGCGTTCTCTGGGAGCGGAAGGGGAGAAAAATGATGCATTGCAGGGTGTCATGTCACCGTGCGAACACAAAGCGATTACCAGCGCTCCAGGCTTAACCCCTCCAGCTCCCTCCCCAGTATGGGTCCTAGATCTGGATCTGTTAAACTGGGGGCCAGCTTTCCAAGAGATGGTTGAAAGAAGAGTGGATAAAACTCTCAAAATCAGCAGACTTAACTGCAGATTCTGGGATATAACCTCCCCATCTCCCGCACTCAGGGGCTTTTCTACCTCTCCTGACTCAGGGACACACACCAACGGTGTTTCCCCTCCCTGCAAGCTGTCAGAAGCAAATCTCTTTATTCTCGTTTAACAGCGGGGTTATTTCCTGGGTGAATCCTCTTGATCTCATTCCAGAGGTGAGCAGCCCCCAGATGGCTCAGTGAAGGAAGGGAGCCAGCCTATTTCAGCCACCCAGTCACCTGAGGTCACTGGAACAGAGCTGATAATCTGATCTGTTGTGTCCTCTTCAGCCCCTTTTAGCCAATCCGTTTTTCAACTATCGGTGAATCTAGCCTCTCCATCTCCCCACCCCTGTGAGCGAGACTTTAAGGTCAGAAGGGACCATTATGATCGTCTAGTCTGACCTCCTGCACAACGCAGGCCACAGACTCTCACCCACCCACTCCTGCAACAAACCCCTGACCTATGTCTGAGCGACTGAAGTCCTCAAATTGTGGTTTAAAGACTTCAAGGTGCAGAGAATCCTCCAGCAAGTGACCCGTGCCCCAGGCTGCAGAGGAAGGTGAAAACCCCCCAGGGCCTCTGCCAATCTGCCCTGGAGGAAAATTCCTTCCCGACCCCAAATATGGCGATCAGCTAAACCCTGAGCATGCGGGCAAGACTCACCAGCCAGACACCCAGGAAAGAATTCTCTGTAGTCAGGGCCGGCTCCAGGCACCAGCCTGGCAAGCAGGTGCTTGGGGCGGCCGCTCCGGAGAGGGGCGGCACGTCCAGCTATTCGGCGGCAATTCGGCGGACGGTCCCTCACTCCCGCTCGGAGCGAAGGACCTCCCGCCGAATTGCCGCCGCAGATCGCGATCACGGCTTTTTTTTACGCTCTTTTTTTTGGCTGCTTGGGGCGGCCAACCCCCTGGAGCTGGCCCTGTCTGTAGTAACTCAGATCCCGCCCCATCTAACATCCCATCACAGCCCATTGGGCATATTTACCGCTAATAGTCAAAGATCAATGAATTGCCAAAATTAGACTATCCCATCATACCATCCCCTCCATAAACTTCTCAAGCTTAGTCTTGAAGCTAGAGATGTCTTTTGCCCCCACGGCTCCCCTTGGAAGGCTGTTCCAGAACTTCACTCCTCTGATGGTTAGAAACCTTCATCTCATTTCAAGTCTAAACGGAGGCACAGAGTGGCACAATGACTTGCCTTGGACACGCAAGACAGTGGCAGCATCAGGACTTGAACTCCTGAGCCTTAACTATGAGACCATCCTCCCCTCTGAAGCCCAAGGCCAAATGCTGCAGGCCTTGCCGAGGCCACGTGCTGGTTGTTCTGAATAAAGGACAGGTGGATGCGGCCCGGTGATAGAGTTTGGAGTGACGTGCAGGGCGGGGAGGGGCAGAGAGCTGGATGTGGGCTGAGGGCAGCAGTTTTGTGCCGACACCTGCACGCTTGGGGGACGGGAATGGAGATTGCGTTATTAGCGGAGTTTGGGCTCACCCAGTCGAAGAGAGAACTCATAGAAGCGTTTCAGCTTTGCCACTAGAGGGCACACCGCATTCCAGGCCTTCTCCTGTAGCTGGAGGTCATTGGGGTTTTGGATTGCCTGCAAGGAACCAAGATGGCAAACTCATCATTAGTGCCTGAATCCGTGCCCGTGTCCCCAGGCCGATGGCTGGAGGAGCTGCAGAGCTGTACCTCTCTAATCTCCAGGCCAGCCCCCGTGTAGGACTGCAGTTCAGCCAGGATTGTCTGTGCCTCCTCTAGCACTGCGTTGACCTGGTTCCACACAGCTGTCTCGGCTTCTGTGGGCTGAGCATCTGCATCGGATCCCCCCCCCAAAAAAGCAACATTTCAGCGCGTGCGTCGGACAGCGAGAGCGCGGGATCTTTGGCGGCCGGTCCCTGAACAGTGTTAGACCCGGGGAAACGCACTGGCTTGTCTGGGGCGCAAGGGCAGACAGAGCGATTCCTCTGCCTACGTCTGTGGAGAAAGTGCCGACGAGAGACGTGCTAAAGGGAATTAGAAAACCTCCCACCAGTAGGGCCAGGCCCCCGGCTAGTGCTACGCCTCATCTGTCCTCTAGTCAGATCTGAACCTTCTGGAGACCTGGCTCTCCTCGCCCCACTGATCTAGTCACACACGCAGGCTCTCAACGGAAAAGAAACGTGTGCAAAGGAAACAACATAAAGCAAACCAAAGGGAAGAAACGTCTCCTGCTGAGAGAACAACCCAATTGGAATGAGATGCCTTGGGATATGACTCCCCTCCATGGGCTTGGTTCTGATCCCATAGCAAATCAGGAGTCAATGGACCTACAGCAGCATCACACTGGCATGAGGAGGAAATGGGGCCCTTTCTTTCCTGACTGGGCCAGACTCTGGACTCAACTCCCAATCTTACTGCTCCTGAATGGGCCTGTCAGATCTCTTCGTGCCCCACTTCCCCCGCAGAGTTCTCTGGCCTGATTGCATTCTGTCCTTCCTCGCCATCGCCTTGACAGCACGGGAGAACAGCTCCCTGCTAACTAATGTTGTCTCTCCGGAATAATTGGTGGGCCTAAGAGGATTTACGTGGCAGGTAAATGTTAAGAATTCAAGCTTCTGGCTGGGACCTGCCTGGTTGAGCTTCTGTAGGTGGCTTTGGGTTATAATCAACAGGGGAAGGATATCCTTACAGGGATGGGACCGGCACTAGGGATGGAGAGCTAAGCTCCTCTCCAGGCCTGAAATGTCCCGACCAACACCCCGAATGACCTGACAGCCCTTTCTGCCGCCCCTTTGGAAACCAGCCTGTTAAATCTCCCAACATCTGGCAATTATTATTATTTTATTATTATTAAGACCAGCTTCCTGAGAAGGAAATCGCCTATGGGAGACCAAGCGGGGTGGTGAGTGGGGAGGAAATCACTACAATTTCTGGAATGGGTACGATGCCATGGGAGATTAACTGAGACGACAACTTAAAATGACATGAATGTGGGGGGGAGGGGGAGCGGAAAATAAAATAAAATAAAAATCCCATCTCACGTTCAAAGTCAAGGAAAAAATTAGGGCCTTGTTCAAGGTCGTTATAAGTCAACACTTTAAGAAGGTTCCCCATGTGACACCTGCAAGAGAAGAGACAAGAGGAAAAAAAATATGATGGGTAGTGAGGTGGCGTTCATGGAAGGAAGCAGTGGGAGAACTAGCTTGAGGGCCAACATCTGGGCAGCAGGAAGAGCCCCTCAGGCATCAGAGCGTCAAGGTTTTTGGCCGGCTGTGTAACTCCTGAATCTTTGTGGCCGCAGGTAAGAGGTGCCCGTTGTTGGCTCTTCGTAAGCAAGAGCCGAAGGGAGGAGAAGGCGGTAGTGCCCAACGGCTTTGCAGCACGCAGCAATTCTAACATTAACGAGCGGAGCTGCTCAATTAGAAGGAGCTGAGGTTCATTAGAGACTCTCCCAAGATCTTGATGGCGACTGCAGCCAGATGTGGCTCGCGGGAGGGCGGCCCGGCAGCTGCTCCCAGCCCCATGAGCAGCCTCTTCCTGCCCCCAGATGGAGATGAGCGTTGGCTGATGGGGGTGGTGACCAACAGGAACAAGCAAAGTGAGGGAGAGCCGCTGTTCTCCAGGAAGGGTGGGGAGGGGGAATGGTCCCAGGGCTGCGTCTCATTTCATCTCCAAAGCCAACACCTGCCCCTTGACTCTCCGGGAGGTAATTACAGAGCAGTGTGGAACATTCATCTGCCTCACAATTACTGCCGGCTCCGGGGACCCGGAGGCAACGTGGGATGAGGCTTTCACTGCCTGGCCCATACCCAGACTGAAGCTTTGGACGTGTCCAGCCCTGGTTACAGAACAGGGGAGTGGGCCAGGCTCTGCTACAAATTGGCAGCAGGTTTGGAAGGGAGTCTCTGGACTTGCTTGCAGTCAAGAGCTCCCCGGGGCCCTGCTGGGGGAATTGCTCTTGTGACAACCAGGAAGGGTCATTGAACGGGGCCTTAGGGCTGAGCCATCCCTCCTGGCCCCATCTCCAGCCTCCCGCTGCAAGGGCCTCCCCAACGCTGCAGAGCCAGAGGACTATTTTGGGCTCCCCCCAGGCCTCTCTGTGTGGTGAACAGAGCGCTCGCATCTCAGCCCCCGCCGGGAGGCAGCGTGTGAGCTGTGCTGCTCTGACACTATTTTTACACCCCTCGGGTTTTCCTGAGCGCTGACTCTGAGCTGCTTGTCTGGGTGGATGAGGAGGGGGCAGCCACAGGGGATCTTGTCTCGCCGACTTGCCGGGGTTAGTCAAAGGCAGGGGGGTTATTTTAGGAGTGACCCCCGCTTTCAGTCCTCCCTTCACCCTCCCCACATTCCCGGTCCCTCCTGCTCCCTCCTGCCCTTTCCTGGCTCCCTCAGGCCCTTCCCTTCGCACTGGCTGTCTGCTTCATCTCTCTGGCACTCTGCTCTCTCCCCTTTGGGTCTCTGCTTCCCTGTCCCCCCGAGCTCAGCTCACCCCTCCTTGTTCCCTTCCTTGCCCCCTCGGGAGCACCGGGGCAGCTTATGGAGTTTTGACCACGGGGGCCTCTCACCCCACGGCTAGCAGGGGGGCGGCTTTCCCAGCGTGGCCAAGTCTCTGTTTTAGTTCTGGCTGTGCTGCTCCCTGACCTGACCCAGCGCCAGGGGCTGGGGCCAGAGGGAGTTTGGCTCCCCGAAGCCATTGGATGTTGCCTGCGGTACAATGAGGCAGCACAAATCCTTCCTTCCTCCTTCCTCGGCAGCATGTGACCGGCTGTTACAGGCAGACGGGCTCTTTGGGGGCTTATCGGCCTGCTGGGAAGTGTATTAGCGGTCCCAATCCTACCGGCTTGTGAGGCGAGAAGGGGATTCAGGGGTCATGGGGCAGACCAGGCAGCCGCCTCGGGAGAACGTGTTTGAGACTAAGATCCTAGTGTTAAGGGCAATGGCCTCTCTCTCCCAAATATCCTCCAGGGGAATGCCACTTCTCCTCCATTGCTGCTATCAATGGTGCGCCCAGGGAGCTGGAAAGCCTTGCTCCGTAGCAAATCTGTCTCAGCACCTGGATCCCAGAGCCATGGGTGCTGGATAAATACAGAGAGCCAATGGGCTGGGGCCTCTCTGCTCCGGGAGCAGTGGGTGCTCCAGCATGGAGGAAATTCCCCCCGTTAAGGATAAAACCAGGAGAGCCCCTGAGCTCGCCATCGGAGTCTCCAGGGTGAGCCCGGAGCTGCTCGTTCGATGGGGGGAGGGGGTTAAGATTTCCCTCCCCGGGCTCGGCTGGCAATGGAGATGGGATGTGACAGGCGGCAGGGAAATCACATAGTGGTTTCACGTGTGAGAGAGTCTATTTAATGCCCCCACCCCACCCTCCTGCTCAGTGTCCACCCAGGGCCGGCCTTAAGGAAAATGGCACCCTGGGCAAACTTGTATTTTGGTGCCTCTGGTCCCCGCCACCTCCCCAGGCTCCCAACCCATCCCCCCAGGGCCCACAGCCTCCCCATCTATCCCCCCCATCCCCTCTGGCCCCCACAGCCTCCCTGGGCTCCCCACCCATCGTCCATGGCCCCCGCCACCTCCCCGGGCTCCCAACCCATCCCCCCATCACCCCTGGGCCCACAGCCTCCCCATCTATCCCCCCCTGGCCCCCTCCACAGGCTCCCAACCCATCCTCCCTGGCTCCCGCTGCCTCCCCCAGGCTCCCCACCCATACCTCTGGCTCCTGTTGCCTCTCCTGGCCCCCCATCCATCACCCCTAGCGCTGCCGCCTCCCTGGGCTCCCCACCCATCCCCCTAGGC